CAATGTCCAGTTGTAAAAACATGTGGAATGGGATATTTATGGGCATGGCCATTTGGGGAAAATATAATCTGCCACACCTTCCTTTCCTAAAATAGATCAATAGTCCACAACCCTGAAGTGAGTCCTGTTGTTCTGTTATTAATGACATTTGTCTGCAAGGCACAGACTCAAAACTGGCTTTGATTTGCTCGAGTTTTCACAACTCCTTTAGGGAAGTGTCACACAGCTGGTCTACAACATGAAGTACGAAGACACCTGCCCCGTGGTAGGAGCCTTTTTAATATACAAAACCTTCAGCCAAAACCCAGGAGGCTCTGGGCAGGTCCCACCAACCCCTATGGGGCTCAGTTTCTTCATCTGAAGAACAGCCCCGGAATTGTGAGACCCCTTTTTAACACTCTGATTCCTTGGTATTCTCCAGCCAGTCCACTCTCTCTGGCAAAAATGTTTCTTAAACAACAACAGAACACTATAGACAGTCAACTTCCCATCGTGAGCAATAATGGAGAATTCATAGTTAGCTCTTAAAAGTATGGGAGTTAAAGAAATATTGACAGACTTTCCCTTCTATGTATCTGCCTTGCTTAGTATGTTAAAAAGCACTGCCTAACATATTCACAAAGTACAGAACACGGCACAGACAGTGGAGACCTAACTGAATTACTTTCTTGTTCATTTTTAGATCTCCGCTAAACTCCTATTTCATGTACCAGGCTCCATAATTTCAGGAGGGTGGAAGAACTGAAAGGGTATCAGAGAAGATGCGCTAAATAATTCAAGGACTTAGTGAATAAGACCTAGGAGGTAAGGGGTGCGGGTTATTCATCCTGGAAAAGAAAAGGCAAGGATGATGCTCCCGCAGCAAAAGCATGAAGGCCTGGGATCAGGCAATCCAGCACCAGCAAACCAGGTAACATTGGGGCAACTCACCTGACCCGCTTAGGCCTTGGTTCCCTCATTTGAACAGGGAGAGAGTTGATTTGAATCATCATCATCTCTGATGATGAAGAGGATAGCGACAATTTCCCCAATGTCTCAAACAGGAAATGAATTTAACCTGTCACATATGTCACTGAGATGAGATACACCACAATATTTTCTGACCGGACATAGAAGCCCAGATCCAGGAGAGCTCAATGGTCTCCAGTAATGGAGTCAGGCAGCAGTGATTCATGGTGGGAAGCAGACCCTAAAGGATGTGATGAGCATCTAAGAGAAAATGCTACATGCTCTGAAAAGTATTATAAACGACAGAAAAGAAAGTTGGACAACACCTCAGGCAGCGATGTTCTAAAGCAAAGACTAATTAAACAAGCCACAGACACAAGAGTTAACCAAGGCGGAGCCTCACTCCGGGGATCACTGTTCTGTGGAGACAAACCAGCCCGCCACAGTCGCTCTGCTCCAGGGTTTACAAGATGGGACCCTTGCAAGTCTCAGGGCCCCCTACTCTACACATGTTAGCAAACAGGTAGGAAAAAAAGTTTTCTTGCCAATTTACATATTTCCACATTGAGTCAATTCTTCCTTACGACTGAGTAGAAAGAACCCTTAATAGTAACTCGTGGAAAAGACGCTGGGGTGGAGTTTGGGGAAACGCCACCTCCCATTCTGGCTCCCCAACCCTCTCGTCTCCAGCGACCCCACCTCCTCCGGCCCGCACCGACGGACGCCCTGTGGCCGAGTTTCACAACCACCTCACCCCCCCTCCCCGCGGAGCCCGCCCTTCTTCGGAGGGCTGGAGGCCCGGGATTCCCAAAGCGGAACGCAGAGCGCGACTTCCCGGTTCGGTAGGGGGTGGCGGCCGGGACCCAGGCCAGGCCCCTCTGGCTGGGGCTCACGGGCACTGGGGCTGTCGTGGGGCACGAAGGGCCCGGAAAGGGGCAGCTGCTCAAGATCGGACCCCAGCCTTGGCGCTCCCTCTTCACTCCCTAGGAGCCTCCCTCAGTAGAACCTCCGTTGCCTGCCGGAGACAAGCACGTCCGTCCCGAGATGACGGACGCCAGCTTCCCCAGGCTTCTACTCACCAGACCCTCCCAACTTCCCGGCTCTGAACTTTGCTGGCGCCGAAGCGCGAAGAGCGAGCCCGGAGCCTCCGCGCGTTCCTGGCGCTCGCGCGGTTACCGGCGCCTTCCGCTTAGCCAGCCCTCCCAGCGGCGCGCCGAGGCCGGGCCGCCCGGCGGGCAACGTGGCCCTCCCCAGGGGGGCGGGGCCGGCCGCCCCGACTCGCCCTGGGCCCCTCCCTCCCGGGCCCGCCTCCTTGCCCCGACTCTTCACAATCACCCGCCGTCGGGACAGCCCAAGTTTTCCCAATCCCCAACTTTGGGAGCTGATGTGGAGGCAGCGGTTACCACTGGGCCCTTTCCTGCACCCAACTGCAACTGCGCAGGTCGACACCCGACCCCACCCACACCCTCAACCCCTCTCGTCCAGACTTCTCGGCTGGTGCAGAGATGTGAAAACAGGAACCAAAGCGCCAAAAGGGACGCTGCGGGAAACACCTGCTGCCAAAAGCAGCAGAGAGCCAGCTGTGGTTTCTTATTCTTTTTTTTTTTTTCCTTTGGGGGTGGGGAATGAGAGCTGTTAGTTCTGAATGAAAGAGCAGAGACTGACCTGTCCCCAGGGTAGAACCACCATACCTTAGGAGGAAAGGATTCAATCACAGGCTTTTGTGGTAGCTCTGTGAAAGGGGATGGGGGACAGAATCCGGAAAAGCCTGGATGTCTGTATCTAACCCTGAGAAATGGGGGTTGGGAGCTGAGAACTACTGAATCCAGGGCCAACCTTACCATGTGCTCAGGACACACTGCTGGCACCAAACCCTCCCCCACCTTCATCCCTCCCGGATGCTGCAGAGCAGCGCAGGTCAGAGCTTTGTGGTGTGTGGTGACTGACTGACTTGGCTCACTAACTTGTTTCTACAAGAAACCAGGAGTTATGCAGGGTTCTAAAGAAACAAAATGCAGGGCATGCCCTAAAGGCCCCTGCATGGACGTGAGATGCTAAAATTGCACAGAAACCTCTACAAGCCAGACCCCTCCCTCAGCCTCTCCTTTAACCCTCCAAGCAGCTCTGCAGAGTATATTATCCTGTTCTACAGATGAGGACTTTGAGACTAAGGGTAAATGCCAACCGCTGAAGGTCACAAGACATAGTGGAGGGCACGGCAAGGTTTTAGATCCAGGCCCTCTTGCCTCCAAAGCTAGTGTTCACCCCACCCCTCATGCACCCTTGAGTGCAGGCGCCCTCTGAGATGTCCGTGTGTCCAGCATAACAGGTGCAGAGTAGGGCAGCAGGGGAATCTTGGTAGAAGCAGTGGGAGCTCAGCCCTGAAGAAGCAGAGTGAGAGAAGAGCTGACATATCAGTGAAGCTGGACTGTGTCTGTCTGTCCAAGGTCTCCAGCTTAGCCAATTGCATGGACTGGCAGGAGATGCAAACCCATGCTCACGTGCCAGCCAGTGGCCAGTGTCTGCACTTCTGCCCTCTCTAAGTTTTTCCTCATGTAGGGAACATGGGAGGCCTACACACTCACACTCCGTGTCAAGGTAAGAAGGAAAATGATATTCCTAAAAGTGTAAAAAGGTGGGAAACAATCATTTGTAGATCTAAGATATCAGAAGCTAAAATCACTCTCCAGGACAAAGGACATAGTGGGATGCTGAAAAGTGGGGAGACCAACCAGCCCATGAGGTATCAGATTCCCACCTCTAACAACAACTCTTCTCCATCTAAGGCAGCTCAATGGGGAACAAGATGCGGACTGTCTGTGCACCACAACTCACACCTCATCACGGCTGTCCTTGGTTTAAATCAGCGGTTCTCAACCTGTGGGTTGGGGGTCGAACGACCCTTTCACAGGGGTCACCTAAGACCATCGGAAAACAAAAAGATACTTACATTACCATTCATAACAGTAGCAAAATTACAGTTATAGAGCAGCAATGAAAATAATTTTATGGTTGGGGGTCACCACAACATGAGGAACTGTATTAAGGGGTCGTGGCATTAGGAAGGTTGAGAACCGCTGGTTTAAATTGTAAGGCTCACAGGCAGACCTACGAGTACAAATTCACCAACTGCAAGAGGACTATCCCAAGCCTGGGATAGAAAGGGCCTGGTTAGAGAACTGGGATGGGCTGAATTCTTGGATGGAAGCAAGAGAAAACATTTGGTCTGACAGGCAAGAAGCCAGGGTGATGAGTACCAAATTGACCTGGGAAGAAAAGAGGCCCTGGGCGCTTGATGGCCGTTTCATGGGGAGGGGTCACAGGGGAAGAAGGGCCAAAGAAACAAGGAGCCTGATCCTGGATGCAACCCAGATTGGATTATGTGACAATAGAAGAAATAGGAAGATCTGATTACAGGATACTAGAGAATAGAAGGGGCAATACTGTATCCTGCCCACCCCCATCACTTCCAGAAAAGGACGAGAGAGATAAGGAGAAGTGAAAATTGTTTCAGGAAACTGCCCTTCCATAAACCATGCCCAAGATAACCTGCATTTTTTTACAATTTGGAAAGAGTTCATGCTGTGAACATAAGACAGATCTTGGCTTGAAACCATGAGAAGTAAAAGCAATGTTTTAAATCAATGTTGTGTCTATTTTCCCCCTTCCCTCCTCTCAACACCCTCACTCCCCATGGAGACCCAGAAACTTAGCTCAACAAGATCAAAGAAAGGAGAAAAGATTAACACAATAATTACTGAGCAATGTGTGTGAAGTGGAACTTTTGGTTAGCCACCTATAATTCTTTTTGGAAGAAAGAAGGGTGTAAATTAAGTTCAGTTAAAACACAAACACAATCTGGTCAAATCTGTCCTGGCTAAGTGGCCTGAGCATCCTGGTGCCCCTGTGCAAAGGTGCCCATGTGAGAGGGCCGAGGGCTTTCTTGAGAGGACTGTCTTGGGGAAGGGTAAGGCGGAGAGCAAGACTAGCGCTTTCTGTGGAAATGACAGGGGAGAGGAATTCTGGCTCACTCCAAGGAGGAAATGTCTTACCAGAGAGGCTGTCTGACAGGGCACTGAGTTCCCCTCCCTGAGATTTGCAGCAGAATCCAGGCGGCAGCAGTTCAGACCCTGTAGAAGCAGCATAACACTGAGCAAGCCATCACAGGCCTGCCCTCCACACTCAAACCAGCCCTTTGCTCAGGGCTTCTGTAGCTTCCCCTCACCTATCAAACTGGGGAAATAAGCCCTCTCGCTCCTCCTCACAATAATGTGCTGACAAAAACGCAACAGCCTGGACACTTCATATAATGTAAGCACTATACAAATATAGCTCAACTCTGTGGTACTTATAGTGTTTCGAAGCACTCACAGGCCTTGCAGGTAAGGACGAGGGCCACAGTGGCATCCTGGGACCACACATACCTGAAGAATTGCTGTGATCCCGGTGCCTAAGCAATGACTGACACCAGGAATTGGCTGAGCGAAGCTGCGAGAGGTGACATGGCCTTCCTGAAATCTGGACCTTCGAAAGGAAAAGCCTGGCCTCAAGGGGACTCCCCACCCCCCATCAGACCAAAGGAGAAGGAACAGCTCAGAACCAGTGACTCCACCCAAGCCTGCCTGGCCAACCCTCAGGCCATTGGGGGAGTCAGGGATTCCTATGGCAAGGAAGAAAAGAGGGGGCAAAGAAACTGATTCTGGATGAAATACATGATTTTCAGCTTGCAAATGACCTTAGTTATTGTTGCCTGCCCCCAATGAATGTGAGGCCCAGATGTTTACACAGCTAGTGAAAGGCAAACAGATGCTAAAAGCCAAGCTTCCTGCTCCTCACCCAGCCACCATACCCCATAGTCTTATCAAAATTCCCACCACCTCTTCTTTCTCCCAACACCTCCTTTGTTGTCACTGAAAAAGCAGGCATCTTGGCACAGGTAAACTGGAGTTCCAGGAAGGAACAGGCAGGAGGTGAGAAGGTAACTCTGAACAACAGGTCTCCTTTAAGGGGGAACAGAGTCTATGAAAATATAAAAGGCTAAGAGATGGTAGTCTGAAAAAACTGTCATCTTAAAGAGCGGAAGAGGCTACTAGGATACGCCACAGTCCAGCACTCACTCCAAGAAAGGGAGCTCCATCTCCTAACCAGACACTCGAGCCCTTGAGACTTACACTTTCCTCCACCCTCTAGAAGAGCATACGTGCCGCATGACTGGAGATCCCTGAGGGCCAGAATCCCTCAATCTAAGTCCTCTTTGGACCCATGTACCTTTCCACAACTTGACGATCCCAGATAGCATCAGGATGAGACAAATGCAGGGCAGGCTTTAATTAAGGCCACCCAAGGCTTTGCCAGCACACTAATTTAATGAAAAAACAGAGCTTTTCTCTACGTAACAATTATACTAGCACATCAAGCAATGTCAATGTTACTGTTTTACACATACATGGCCTTGGACACTTCAAAATCTATCATTTCCTTTGCTCCTTGTAATAACCTGTGAAGGACTTGGAAAGTTAGTTATCCCCATGTTGCAGGTAAAGAGAACATGGCAGAGATTAACCAACATATACTAAGAAAGTGAGAGCTAGAACACAAATCCTACTAATGCCCAATCCTGTGTTCTACTCCTCTGCTCTTCCCATGAGGTCTCATGGTCTAAGCTCCCTTTTAGGAGGAGGAGACACAACTTAGGAGGTTATCTAGACCACTCCACTCAAGGCAGTTCTACTCAGCGCTTCCAAACACAACAGCCTGCCTCTGGCTGGGTAACCCATTCCAGTGTCTTAGTTTAGCCCCACTGACTTGTGAGCCTATTATCTCAGTGTTAGAAAGGCCGTTACTGGTAATCTAATCCAACCTCCTTTCAGAGAGCTGAATTCTTTTCATGTTCTCCTTGGCCTAACTGCACAACTGCCACTGCTCACTACGCCTTACAAGGTACCCCCTTCCTGGGTGAGGAGTGGTGGGAACAAGTCCACACACTGAGAGGGTGAAGGATTGGTGAAGCTTCCTGTGTACTCATCAGGGTAAGGGTTCTGATCAGGGTGCTTCCTGAATGGCAGCATCCCTACACTTGCCCCACTCAACACTTTCTGCACAGGTGCAGCAAGACACCAAGTGGGAAATGAGACAGGAACCTTACCTTTCTTCTCGTCTCTCAGCCGCTCCCCTGAGCTCATCAAACCCTCATCCAGTACTCCATTTCCAAAACTGAGAATCCCAAATCAGAGACACCAAACAAAGTGCAGCTTCTCTCCTCTTATCCAGGTCCAAAGTCCATGGTTGAGTGGACTCTGAGGGGGAGGAGTCTGGGGGGGAAGGGGTATGTCCAGGCCCCTCCCCCCCCACTGCAGGCTTCAGTGTCCCTCTTCCGGGTCTGTTACATCCCTTCATTCAGCTGACTTATTAAGCTCAGAGTCTGGCGATGGGTAGGTCCCAGGTACTATCCCATCTCTTGCTCAGGGAGGGGAAGTCATCCACTGTGAGGTCTGGCTCGGCTGTCTTCTGCTGGGGCTCATGAGATGAAACAGGCCTTACAACCGGCATGGCCCAGGAGGCTGATTTCTGGGTTAACCTGTGGAATATTTAAACATATGGCACTCTCTAATTCATTATACACCCAAATGGATTCCTAAGCCTTCCTACATAAATTAGACCCCTCTTATCATGAAAAACCCATCCTTAAACACTCCACAAAGTTACACAAAGTACCTGCTTCACTCACATATTGTCCCCCCCTCCAAAACACAGCCACCTCATCAATATGTATATACATATATGGTTCAGGATAAAGGAATGATTGCATCTATTCTCACAACAGAAAAGCAACCAAAAGCACTGATGGTGTGTGGAGACTGTCTCCTAAGAAATGTGGAAAAGAACATTCTCCTCCTGGCCTCTTGCCTTGTTAGTGCCACACACTAATCGCCCTACATCTCCCAAGCTTCTTAGGGTGTTCAGTGTTCTAATCGGCTACCTCTCCCCAAATGAACTAAATCCACTGCAGACCTAAATGCTGGCACCTTCCACAAGCATTCTTTGCTCCCTTCCCTTCACCCTCACCTCCCTGATCAGCTTCCAAAACTGTGCCAGGGATGTAATTCCTAATCGTTGTCAAACTCCTTCCAGGGGCCACTCCCGAGAGCACTCTCCTGGAATGTTTGAGGCCCAAGTCCTGCCTGCAGTAGCCCCACAGTGTTCCAATTCCTCAGTCCGGGAGTCCCTCCCTGTCGCCCCCC